TCCATTACCATAGAACTGTCAGCTATTGTCTCTGTTGCCGGTCCGCTGTTCTGCTGTTCCGCTTAGTTGCTCCGATTCATGATTAGCATTAGCTTCAATACTTAGATACATTACTCTTTGCTGAGTTTAGCACAGCTCACTAGTCGTTCGCTGCTGCCTGCTCGATCCTTCCCTTCGTGGCCGCTCGCATAGATTTCAGCTAGTATAAGTTCGCTGACTTAGTCAGATATCGAGGAGTCTTCGATTAGTCTTGGATTAGTCTTGTATGAGTCTTGGATTAGTCTTGTATGAGTCTTGGATTAGTCTTGTATGAGTCTTGTATTAGTCTTATTCTCTTTTATAGCTTTCTTGACTTTCTTTATAGGAGTTCCGCTACCGCTCAAGCGGACTTGTCCGCTTGAGCCGGTGTGGCCTTTGACTTTGTAGTTTCTTACTGTTCCTTTACTATATCGGACCTGAGGGCTCCGCCACCCTGACTTCTCTCTGTGCTTTGGGTCTGAGGTACGCCTGAGCGGAACTACCAAGAGGCGCACATATACTTTGTGCAAACGGGCTTGGGATAACTAACACGTAGGGACGATCAGCCAGCCACGACAACACTGCTGAACATGCACAGCATGGTGACAGCTAAGCAGTACGCACGTCATCAAGGCCAATTTCCAAATATGGGAGGTGTTAATTATGAAATTTGACACAGTTCCTCTTCTCTGATCGGCTCGAGACATAGCTCATCGGAATCAGTGCCCAATTCTCCTTCGGATAAGCCATACTTATTTTTGGCGTTCAGTTTCCCTTTAATTTGCTAAATCCTATATATAGGCGGATTTTGGTCATATTTTTCAACTCAAAATGGGCGTGGCATGAGAATAGCAAAAAGTATATGACCAATTCTTCCGCGTTAGGTCTTAGTAGATATCGAGAGTTGAATAAGATAATTTTTTCAAACACTAACATCTCAGGCTCATCTCCTTGCCCAATATTACTAAGGCCTGTGCCCTATTTTTCGAATCCTATATATAGGATTTGAGATTTTATTGGACCTTGTTTTATCCTAAAAACTGGTAGTTTCATGACGGCATGTGCGATATGTCGTCATGAAACCATCCTGTGCCACACCTGCAATGTTCTTTTGCACATTCACTGCTTCAGTCCTTTCCATGACAGCAGCTGAACAATTATGCTCAAATTTCCAATTATTGCTGAAAATGGGTATTCATCAGAAATATTATCGCCCTATGAATCTACATTCATGCCTCAAACATATTTACAACTTCCATGAAAACCATTATGTCGTTATTATTGGTCGTGATGACCAATAACAACGGCATAAAAGCTAAAAGGCACACATTTTCAAATCCTATATACTGTATAACACGTTATTTTCGGTGTGATTTTAATTTCGGTAATTTCGGTAGAGAATTCAGGCACCTAAATTTGGATTACACCTAAAAGGCACTAGAGTATGCACTGTATGTGAATGGTAGGCTGGTCACCTAATTCTACATTACACCTGAAACCTGGCAGGTCCCTGGTACCGAAAATTAAATACACCTAAAATTACATGATATACAGTATAGGATTTTTGGCCAGCAAATTAAGAGATAGGGCTTGAAAGTGATGACGTCAAAACGGCCAGGGAGTAGTAAGTTGACATCAGATTTCTATTTTTGGATCCACTAAGGTGTGACCTTGCTATTGCCTAAGTATGTGGGTGCATAGCAACCCACTCATGTCGCATGCAGGTGTGACTTTTATTTCGCCACCAGTTGTAACCCCGCCCCCAGTAGCCAAATCAGTCAGTTTCACTGGCTACATCACCATGCTGTGGGTAAGACCGCTTGAAATGTGCTTGGATCCATACAAAAAACTGGATAGTGGATCCAGTTTTTGAATTTTTGAAATTGTTGCTATGCTGTGACGTAGCACTTTCAAGCCCTATTGCCTAAGTATGTGGGTGCATAGCAACCCACTCATGTCGCATGCAGGTGTGACTTTTATTTCGCCACCAGTTGTCACCCCGCCCCCATTATACTAATCAGTCAGTTTCACTGGCTACATCACCATGATCACCTTGCTGTGAGTAAGACCGCTTGAAATGTGCTTGGATCCATACAAAAACTGGATCCAAGTGGATCCAGTTTTTGAATATTTATATATATTTTTGCTATGCTGTGACGTAGCACTTTCAAGCCCTAAAAAAGAGCACTTACAGTGACTTAGGCGAGTAACTAACTATTACTAGTATTACTATTACTTAGCCAGTAACTTAGGGTTCCCTGTAGCAAGACGGCAACGTCTAGTTTTTTTTCTTCTTTTTTTCTGAGCCTCTTGTACGGGCAAAATAACACATTTTGTGAAGAATCAACACATAAAACGAATCATCAGATACAGTATTTACAGAGTCTGTCACTCAGTAGGATCACTGCACTGTGCAGGTTCACTGGATGCGTGCCTCCGCCGCCACTAGCACAGCAGGGGACTCAGGCATGGCAGGAGCAAACGTGCTCCTTGAGCCACGCAGGCACATAGCACCACAACGCACCAGGGCAAACCCAAGGCGGCAGCGCAGCAAGGAGATAATCTGCCCGTATGGCTCCTTACTCTTCTCAGCCAGGAGAGAGGCGATCCACGTGAAAAGAGCATTGGCATGCTTGCCATAGCCACCAGAGGCAGAGAGCACAACGGGCACGAAGGAGGCATGCTCAACTTCACGTACTCGCTCCTCGTACTTCCGGCGCTTTTCCTGTTCATGGCGTCTGTAGCTAGCAGCGAGGGAGGTGGCACGATTCGAAGACGCAAAAGGGTTGAACACCCGTACATCAATAAAGATGCGCTCGAATCGGCCACCCCACACACCACTAGCCGCAACGTCCAGCCGAGCTTGCTCCTCCGTGACAGCTGTGCGATGGCGGAAGGCCTCTCCGGTGACGGGCTGGAGGTGGGGTTCCACTGTCACGTTGTGAGCAACCTGCCTTAGGAGCTCTGGCGGTGATGTCCCTCACCTCGTTATGTCGCAGCGTCGGGAAGCCACCAAACGGGCACGACAGGGCGTGACTCACATTCAGCGGCTTACTGCACACGCAGAGGCTTGGGGGCCGAGGAGGTGTCCAGCCGTACCGGAGGCACAGGCCATCCCGGAAATCTCCCTTGCTGAGTGTGAAGCCATGGCGGCTGAGGGGGCGGCAGGTCAGCCAGCTGGATGCACCCTTTTCTGAGGCCAGGTCGAGAACAGGGGCCAGCTCCCGGTGATCCGAGCGAAGAGCGTCAGCCATAGACTTGAACGCGCTCCGCTTCTCGGCCCGAACCGTCGCCTTGACCGTCCGGAGCTGAGTCAGAGAGTCGCCAAGAGACGACTCCTGCTCCAGCAGGCGAGACACGAGGCTAGCCGTGATCCTTCGGGATGAGGTGTACTGTTCAGCCACTGAACAAGGGTCTGCCATACCCAGTCCCCCAAGCCGGCAAGGCAGAGAGAGTAGGGAGCGAACAGTTGTCCCAGGTGGAGCCTGACCCGTGATGGCCGGGATGAGCCGACCGCTGATTGCGTGTTCCAGCGGTTCAAGCAGGGACGGCGGGATGGAGGAGGTCCGGCAGAGGAAGGACCACTTGTTTTGCAGGCCCTGTGTGAAGGCGGAGTAGGCGGCCTGTGGCTGCGATGCAGCGATGGTCGTGAGCTGCGCAACTTCCTCACACCAGGTGGCGACCTTGGACTGGACAAATTGTTCTATAAACTCATCCGTGCCCAAAGGTGCACCAAGGTGGCGGCAACCATCACACGTGACCTGCACACCGGTCCCCTCGAACATCTCGATAGCAGCTGCGTACCTGGAGGGCTTGACCAGGAGGAGTGACTTCTGGGCATTGCAGTCACGGGTAGCCATACCCGGGACCGTGGCTGACGAGATTGTCCCACCATTGGCGAACAGGCGTTAGCTTGCCACCGGCTGCAGCATCGTCCGCATACCAGCCCTGTTTCGCACCAGGCACTGCAACTTTCTTGATGAGCGGGAGGACTCCAAGCGCATATACGGGCATGGCCAGAGGGTCACCCTGAGTGGTACCCTCGCACGATAGCAAGCACTCTCCATCAACGAATAGGCGGGATCGGCAACGTCTAGTACGCGTATACGTCTGTAGGGCCTTCCCTATCAAAATAATAAAAAATTCTACTACATGTACTACTACTACAACTACTACTCCGCCTAGGCCTAACGTTATAACAAGAGTACATAACCCCCCAGAGTGTGCAACGCCTGATCCAGCTCTGTGTAGGGTCTTGGTCGAGCGGAATCGGATCTTCTGATGTCATGCGTACACTTCACACCAGCGCAAGGCCGGTCTCGAGGCAGGGCACCATTGTTTTTGATCCAAGAGTACCCGCGACTCCCCGGGTTCCCCTCAGATGTGTACGGTATTATGACGCAAAGATCCGATTCCGCTCGACCAAGACCCTACACAGAGCTGGATCAGGCGTTGCACACTCTGGGGGGTTATGTACTCTTGGTTATAACTCACATCTGCATCGTGCCAACACCGCCTACATCGCTTGACGCCTACAGTCCATTTCAAAACTATAGACGCGTACCTAGGCAAAAACAGTTATGCCAGCATCTATACCACATAAAATCTGTGATCACTTTGTGCATAAATTTTTCCAAATTGGGCGTCTACGTCTGTTACCCAATCCTTTAGAAACTATATGAGAGTAATCATGGTAATTGTGGAGCGATCCTGAGCAATATTCCGAAAACTATTCTCAAAAAGGTCCAGCCAAATTTGAAATATTTCAAAAACCCTACGCGTCTATAGTTTTGAAATGCACTGCAGCCTATCGTCTGGTCTGCGCATGTGGATTCGGGACTACAGCCTTACAGGACGTGTTGAGAGTCGAGCTAGACGTTCTACAAGTAGTACTAGTACCGTACAAAGCACGTGTCAATCATAATAATCTTCAAAATAATTCATTGCCAGTCTTGTGAATAATCATGATAATGGTACAGCTAGCTACAGATCTGCAGAGTCAGTGTGAACCAAAACCAACAACACTGAGTGAAAGACAATCTTCATGAAAGACTTTCTTTTTCAGTGCTGAAATGCGTTGTGGCTGAAAGGCGTCGAGGCAGACCAACAGATCTAGTTTGAAGCTAGGCATCTTCGAGCTTCGCGGCTAGCCTTGTTGCGGAGTCGAGTTCATTTTTTCTGATAAAATTTTGAATTGAGATTGGCTTTTCTTGTCATCAATTCTTGTCACAATGAGCGGATACGGCGTGCTGGAGTCCGAAACTACTAGTACCTCGGCGAGAAAATGGGTCACTGTGAAACGGTTCGTCAGGAAGCAGATCCTGCTGATTCTGACGATTCTGGGCGTTTTCCTGGGCATTGGTTTTGGAGTGCTTGCCAACCATTATAGCCCCAACCAAGTTGCCGTGACTCTGATCTATTACCCCGGCGAGATCTTCCTGCGTATGCTGCAGATGCTCATCTTGCCTCTGATCGTAGCTAGCTTGGTGTCCGGTGTTGCCTCGCTGGATGCCCGTGCCTCCGGCAAGCTGGGCAGGCGAGCAGTCGTCTACTACATGGCTACCACGTTCAGTGCAGTGGTGCTGGGAATTGTGCTGGTGGTCACCATACGGCCAGGATCGACAGGCTCCGACGGCTGCAATAATGATCATGATGCTGGGGAGGTCGTGGAGGATGTCAGCACCATGGATACGTTCCTGGACTTGATCCGGTACTGTGATCAATTTAACCGGGCATGCGCGTTGTGATGATTTTAAGCAACTTGTCGACAGCGTGCGCCGCACGCACACACACACACACACACACACACACACACACACACACACACACACACACACACACACACACACGTACATGCACGAACACACGCAAGCACACACACACATACATGTGCGCGCACGTACACATGTACACACACACACACATACATTTGTGCGCACGTACACATGCACACTCACACGCACACACACACACACACACTTGTATTCTCACTGCCAGAATGTGGTCACGGTGGCCTCCCCGGAAGAGGAAAGGGGGAGATCTGAAAGGAATCTTGGAGGCATGACTCAATGGGCTATTGAACTGCTCAATCACACACACACACGCACGCACACACACACACACACATGTGCGTTCACAAACACACACACACATGTGCGTTCACAAACACACACATGTTTGCGTGCGTACACACATACACACACACGCATTTGCAGCCGTATGGTACCTTTCGTCCCACTGATGAACTTTTTCGGTGTGCATTGTGCATTTCTGTGTGTATAGGAACATGTTCCCGGACAATCTTGTTAGATCTTGCTTTCAACAGGTAAGCAGATAAGGGTGGCGGAGGTGGCGTGTGTGTGTGTGTGTGCGTGTGTGTGTGTGGGGGGGGGGGGGGGGTGTTCGTGAATATACTACACTGGTATGCCGATTATCCATACCCCTCGGGTCACTGAGCCCCCTCCACGGGGTTTGATTCAGGACCGTGTGTCAGGTAACGGAGCTGACATGCGCTCATCCTGAACATGGCATTTCCTCATGTTTTCATCAGTGTGCATCCTCTCTTGCGAGCACCATAGCGTGGGAAGTATGACATACTCCAGGTCGTCACAATTCATCAACGGGGATACGTTTTGATAACGCCCTGCTGCCATGCATCATATGGTGTACATTATACACGTACTGCAGGTGGCAAAAAAAAGCAAAAACTCATTTCTGCACTTCAATTTAGCGCCGAGTACAGCCACTGATTGGCTCTACAATGTACAGGTATTGAGGTTACGGTATGCAGAGTCCTCCGGTTCGATAGAGTGCTCAATGCGAAAGCAGAGCAGTAGCACACGAGTCACGGAGTACCACGCGTCTGGTTGTCAGACAACCAGACGCGTGGTACTCCGTGACTCGTGTGTATAGAGGTTGCAGTACGCGACTGCATCATCAGTTGAGATGCTGTGGCAAAGTCCCGGCACTAGCGACTCACTCTGTATCCATGGCGCCCGTGAGCGGCTTCGCTGACTCACTGCCATGACATCATTGGCATGCCCTCTACTAGTACAGTAATACCTATCAAGGCGACCGCCTGTCCAAGAGGACCACTTCGAAACAAGTCCAATGGACCTTATTTGCAGTCAAATGACCCTGGATAACTTAAGGAGACCACCTGTACACGGGGGCCACATTTTGAAGGTCCCTTGAGCGGTCGCGGTCGGCTTACACAGGTTTTACTGTATTGCGGCGGGGTTTTTTCTCCCTTCGCCCAGGTGCATTCCAAGCACGACCTGCTGATCCGCAACTGCACCAACTTCACCGCCGACAGCAACACGACGACGGGCAACGCGTCGGCACTGTGCCCTCAGACCCGGCACCCTGCCGTCGCCGCCGGCACCCTGATGGTGCCACCGCCGCTGGTGCACGGCGACGGCATGAACATCCTGGGCCTGATCGTGTTCAGCATTGCGCTCGGTATCGTCCTGTCCGGCATGGGCGAGCAGGGCAAGCCGCTCGTGGCCGTCTTTGACGCGCTCAACGAGGCCACCATGCGCCTGGTAGGGATAGTCATGTGGTAAGATCTAGCAGTAATTTCACTTTTCACTCATGCATGTTGACGTATAGGATATGCTTGCAGCAAAATTAGTCCTCCTTGCTGTATTAAGCAATTTGTTTTAGAAACTTGCAGTGCCGGCCTTGCTACTTCGGGTCTGTTTATCTACCATTGTTGTGGGTTTACTTGGGTAATTTGTCTGCGATAACAATATTTTTAAGCAAAGGTCATGGTCGATTTACTCGTCTTGGCTTGTCTTGTCAGTGTTTCTTCTTCCACGTTGTGTATGTCTTATTGTCTGCCACGCACACACTCCTGCTTGTGCTTGTTCATGGGTCGCCCACTAGGTACAGTGTTTCCATCCAGTCCTAAGACAACACCACCACTACCACCAACAACAACAACACCACCAACACCACCACCAGCAACAACAACAACACCACCAACACCACCACCACCAACAACAACACCACCAACACCAACAACAACAAAGCGACCACCCCTGCCGTACACTTAAAAGTAGACACATATCCCTGCCCACCCAACTTTCCTCGCTATTTCTCCTCCTGCACACTTTCATCTCTTATTGGCCACTGGCTATCATGAGAATAAAGATTTGAAACGATAACAACAACAGCAGCAGCAGCAGCAACAGCATACATACACACGTGTTCATTAATGTTTCTTCTGTTGCTGGTGTGACTATAACTTCTTGTGTCAGGTACTCTCCTGTCGGTATCATGTTCTTGATCATGGGAAAGATCGCTAGCCAGGAAGACATCGCCGAGTTGATTGGAAAGCTTGGTCTGTACTGTGCCACGGTTCTGGTAGGCCTCACAATTCACTCGCTCTTGATCCTGCCACTGATCGCCTTCTTGTTCCTGCGGAAAAACCCGTACCTGATGATCGGCTCGGTTTCTCAAGCTCTGGCGACGGCTTTCGGTACCTCGTCCAGGTGAGTCAGTGCTGGGTCTGTTGAATCTCGTATTGAGAGCTGCTTGTGGAGCAGTCTCTAGTCGTGTTTCCTAGCTAGCTGGGGAGACACCCTTGGGTTCATGGTTGTGCGTGCGTGTGTGTGTGTGTGTGTGTGTGTGTGTGTGTGTGTGTGTGCACAAGTTGCTATGTCTAACATAGCTGTTCGCTATCATCGCTTCCGCGATGGGCATGTCTGAAGTCTGAGGTGTGTGTGTGTGTGTGTGTGTGTGTGTATGTCTTACCAAGAGTACATCAGCGCGAATGTGCAACTCCGCAGCTGGTCCGGTCCATGACGGAATTGTTCTGTTGATGTCACCTTTTTTCCTTCAAAAAGCATGACACGTAGCATACAAAGAACGCGCAAAGCATGTGCTGGGCGCCAAACTCCATAGTGAGTTTGTGTGTTTGTCGTTTTCAAAACGAACTTTTCTCCCACTGCTGTAGCTTTTTATTGCACTCGTAGTGCACATCTAGTGACACCCGGCCAACCCACGCGGCCACAGACTTGTAGTAAATGCCTCGTACGGTATGACTCATGGCCTCCAGAAATGATGACGTCAGCGAAATGTTCTGCCGCTGGCTAAACCAATCGGAACTGCACACTCTAGTTTATGTACTCTTGATATTACTCAAACGAATTTGGTGAATTGGGTTTGATGTACTTGTTTGGTAGATATTCGATATGGGATGTTGGCGCAGCAACTCTGGTGTTGACACAGAATCATCTTTCTACATGTGTATTACACTGCAGTGAGGGTCCTCCGATTGTTTGCTGTCTTTCTATGCACTTTGGATTGGACTTTGTCTCCTGTTGGTCCAAGGGCACACACTGGCACTGTTTTTTAGCAGAACGGAGAGATGAATAGCATGTACGTTCTTTGTGTGTACGTGTGTTTACATGTGTGTTCGTGTGTCTATGTACATGGGTGTGTGGGTGTGTGTGTACTCATGTTGCGTACTCCGCGATGTCATGCATTGCCTTGCAGCTCCGCCACCTTGCCAATCACCATCCGTTGCCTGGAGGACAACCTGAAGATTGATAAGCGAGTGACTCGTTTCGTTCTACCAATAGGCGCTACCATCAACATGGATGGAACTGCCCTATATGAGGCTGTAGCGGCCCTGTTCATTGCGCAGTACACGTGTACACCACTGAATTTTGGGCACATCGTGGCTGTCAGGTGAGTGGATGTACAGGTACTGCTGAGGTTCCATTATGTGTATTGGAAGTAGGGCTGAGTCGGGTAGCATTTTCTTCGGGTATCGGGTTCGGGTAGTTTTCCACGGGTAGCACGGGTACCCGATCGGGTAATATTTCCATGGCAACACCACAATGCACCCCTTCCCTTACACACTTGGTAGACATGCGGAGTATTGCATGAATTTGTACATGTGCACTATACATGATGTCATCTGCGACTTCGGGGTTTTGGGTACTATACAGTATACTGTACCCGTCTACCCGAGGTCCTCACGGGTAGCACGGGTACCCGACTACCCGTGCACACCACTAATTTGAAGTATGTGTGTCTGTGTTCTTGGCTAATGTGCTAACGTGTGTGTGTGTGTTGCGAATAACTGATACATGTAATATGTGTGTTGCTTGTGTCTGCACAGCATCACAGCAACGGCTGCATCCATCGGCGCTGCGGGCATCCCCAATGCCGGTCTGTTCACAATGGTCATTGTCCTGTCGGCTGTTGGTCTGCCGCCGGACATGGCCAGTCTGGTCTTCGCTGTGGACTGGCTGCTGTAAGTCAATTCCCTGCTGTATACGTTTTCAACATCCTATTGCACAAGGTAGCTGTGCAAGAGGAGAGATGAGTAGTGCTAGCTTGAGCACGAAAAGAAGCCGAGGCTGAAAAGTAATCACGCTTTATCACAGTGCCGTCCTGATGATTGCGCGCAGCAAGAGACTCGAGTGGAGGCGGCTTTTCTTCCTGTGGACCTGGTGCGTGGGAACGCTCTGTAGTGCTGATCTGTCAGCACTCTCATTGAACATTCTTGGACGTGTAGCTCGTATACTGTAAGACCAGGTATTAGCGTCAATTAAAGTCAACAATCTCCTGATTATTGTGGGCTAGCGAGGTGAAATTCTAACGAATTCTGTCTCAAAACCGGTAAATGACTGTACATGTACATATCGTTTTGCACATAACGACTTCGAATGTTAACGATTTTTTAAATTCGTTAAATCTAAATCGTTAGAATTAAATGTTCGTTAACATTACTGGTCTTACAGTGGTCAGTGTAGTCCGGTCATCACACCAGCAAGTGGCCGTCATAGGTACTACATAGGCATACTGTAAAACATGTAATTTTAGGTGCGTTAAAATTTCGGTGCCAGGGACCTGCCAGGTTTCAGGTGTAATGTAGAATTAGGTGAACAGCATTCCCTGCACATACAGTGCATACTCTGGTGCCTTTTAGGTGTTACCTAAATTTAGGTGCCTGGTTTCTCTACCGAAATCACTGAAGTTAAAGTTAAATACACCGAAAGTAACATGTTTTACAGTAATAGGAATGGCGACTATGAGGTGGCTAGTGGTACATGGCCACCACACCACAGATGTACGAGCTACGCTCCAGAGTCTCTGGTCTTCATGGTCATCCATCCTGTGTACCGACTGTGGTATAGATAATAATCATCTTGTTGTTCTTTTTTCTCACGCTCTGCTCTGCTCCTATTGTGCTGATCAGGGATCGGTTCCGCACCATGGTGAATGTCCTCGGCGACTCGTACGGGGCGGCCATTGTGGCGCATCTGTCGCGGCACGACCTCACCAAGACTGCACCGATACCGTCCTCGTCCACGTTGGAAGGGCAGACCGCTGCCACGACGACGACATTTTCGACCTCGTCTGAAACAACCAGCAGCTCGGCTGACAAGACGACTACGGAGGTCACCGAAGGAGACGCTCTCTTACCACATCAGTAAGTTCCTAGTTACTAGTACCGGCCAGAACTGCTACGACCCTTACACAATATTTCGTTGAACGTTTTCTACTTCTTTTTATTATTTCTCCAGCATAACTAACAACCTTTAACATAGATGTATACCGCTCCGTTTCATTAGGTATCCACGAAATCCTATATTTACAAACAGCAGGCCTGAATTGTGGATCATTGATTTCGTTTTAGCATGAAATACCCACAGGGTACACGTCACAGTAAAAGAATACATTAGAAACATGAATATTTTATACTGCGTGAAGTGCATTGAGAAATTTCCGAGTTTCCTCCGCTTCCTTTGATTTATTTCGAGCCAGATGATTTCAGTTCACTTCACCCTTCCGTATTAATTCATTATTTTAGAGACTTTCCTATATACAGCACTGCATAGGGAGTCTTGCAGATTGCCAATCCTGGCGCTTTCTTCTATTTCTGAACTTTGAGCTATATTCTTTTTTTTCCTCCAAAAACAACTCGGTCAATATTATGACTTTAACCCCAGAAGCGATTGACCATTGGCCGTGTTATGAGTCTTATGACACAAGTGTGCTGTAGCTACATGTACAGTGCTGCTCAATGAAATCCAGTCGCGTCACTCAAGTACGCGCCGGGCGTTGCGCGGTCCTAGGCCTGCGAACACTGGGCTGCGAAATGGTGCACGCACGGCGCAACCTTGAGTGGCGTGACTGGATTTCATTGAGCAGCGCCGTACATACCCCGCACGCGCACGCAACTGTGCAGCTCCAGTATGCACTGGTGTTTCTAGTCCCGGCAGGATGTCAGGCTGGTGGCATTTCCGTGATGCCGAACACCTGTTTTCGGTTGTTACTTCAGACGTCCACCAACTCTGACCCATGGGGTGGATTGGGGGACCTGGCTGGTACCACTGTAACTCACTACTAGTATGTTTCGCACATTGGGCACGTGCACACACACACACACACACGCACACACACACACGGAGGCTAATTATGTGTTCTGCTGCTGGATCATTTCTCCTTCCAGCACACACTATCATGTCTTCTTTGGCTTCAATCGCTCATTGTGCTAAATTTGCTAAAATTAGCCGCTTTGCAGATGCATTACCGGTATGCTTGCAGCAGGTGATCTTCTCGATGTTCAACGACAACAACAACAACGACAATAGCGCCAATCAAAGGCTTGATTTCTGCTTATTAGCATGCAGTATGTACAGTCAACTTCGCCAATAACGACATTCGGCGGGGCATCAGAAAAGTGTCCTTATTCGCGAAGTGTCCTTATAACCGAAGTCCCATTTGAATGTATGTGAACCCATATTTTGTGTAGTATGATATGCATATCAAAATCAAGCTCTTGTCTTGCTCTATGTCAATGTGTACTTTATTTTCAATTGCAGTTGCAAGGAACTAAAAATTCAATATGCAAGGGAAATGAATTGAAAAATATGCCTTTTTGAGCCATCTACAGGGCCAGGGACATGTACATGTATGATGATTACTGTACAATCATGTACAACTACATGAACATTGTATACATAATATAGGTGTGCTGGTAAATCCAACAATTTTGAAGCCAACATTATAAAAGGAAAAAAAGCCCCCCCCCCCCTTGGCTGCATTTTCTTGCATGTGTGCCTTTTATCACCATAGGTTCTGGTACTTCTGCATGACAGGTACATGTACTTGACTGACAGGTACTTGAAATAGCTGTCAAAAGCCCAGAAAGTCGTTATTCAAGCAGTGAATATGACCACGGGGCACTAAAAGCATGTCGCTATAGGCGAATTGTCGTTATTCAGATAGTCGTTATATCCGAAGTTAAATGTATACAGTTAGATGGGACTTTGCTCTGGGCATGGAAATTCGGTCGTTATTCGCGAATTGTCGTTATATCCGCAGTCGTTATTAGCGAAGTTGACTGTACAATACATGTATGCATTCCTTTTTTTACACGGAACGCTGAACGCTAATTAAGTTTCAGCAAGAGTATAATTATAAGCCCCCTTGGTGTCAGGGAAAGTTGCAAAAGGGAAAAGTGCAAAGGAAAACAAGCCCGGCGGAACTAGTCCGCTTGGTCAGGCCATGGCCGGACCAACTCTTTTGCCCACCAACGTGTGTTTACTACTGAGGAGGTCATGTGACTACCCCGCTACATATCATACACAAACTGTATGAAAGACTATGGCATGGCCGGACCAACCAAAAACTGCTTCCGCCGGTCTTGGAAAAACATTGACTGTCACCACCAGGACTCGAACCAGGGACGCTCGCTTGTGGCCAGCGATGCTCTACCACTAACTAGCTAAAGCGGCCATGGTGTAGTCCAGGGAGCCGTCAAAGTCGTATTTGACGACTCCCGGCCTGGTGTAGTCGTCATCCAAGCAGCGGCCGTTCAACCTTTTCTTCAGATGTCGAAACTCGCGCTTCCTGTGAATCCAACCAGGCAATTAACCTTGCAATAATCCCTCAAGTTTTGACCTACCAACATAGCCATTTCACAGTAGCGTGCATTCCGCCGAATTTAGCCTTGACATTTGTGTTGCTTGTGTTGTGGTTACCGTAGAATCCCTCACAAAAAGTCTTCGCGTGACGCCCGTAGCTAGCTCTGCGACCACATAATCTCAGCATGAGGCTGCGTTTACGCGGCAACGCTGGGGGCGAAAACGCAACGAAATCCTTTCGGATCCATGGTTCATTTACACGGTACGCGGAGCAAAACGTAAAAGTTGTACACCAAAACGGAGGAAAACCAAACGCTGCCCAAGGTGGAAGAATTTGAAAAATGTTCTGCCGGATGAATTTGGGTGTGTAAACAGTTGAAACGGGTGTGCTGGCCTCGTTTTCCGTCGCATTTGTTTCGTTTTCGGCCGTTTAGGCCGCAACCACACTACGTAAAAATCACAGTACAAATTTTCATGCATATCTCAGTACAAGTCGGTACGCAACCACACTACACTTTTCGGTCTGCATACTGTAAATATACAAATTTTCGGCAGCTATTTAATTTCGGCTATATTCGGCACCGACCCAAAACGCCTAAATTAAAACGCCGATGAAATTTTTCACAGCATTTGTCGCAATACCATGCCCTCTACCATGTCTACCCCACGCCGAAAATAAATCGCCGCCGAAATGTCAAAAATCGTAAAGTGCCGAAATTTTGCAGCGCCGGAATTTTGTATATTTACAGTAGATGACGTTTTCACGCGACCAGCACGTGACGTTGTCGTACCAAAGCGTGTGCCATGCGCTGGAAAAGACCGGGAAATTCAAACACAATGCTGATGCTGATGCTATGTAAGACGACCAGGTACAAAAACAAAGTTGTACACAGGAGATGGGAGCGCGAAAAGCGCCGAAAACGACAAACGTGGCTTTCTACGGGGGTGCGCCAGTTGCTGAAAACCTACAAAGCGCATTTTGCATTTCGCACGCGTCGGCATGACGATATCTACTGTAATGCCGTTTGTACGTGATTTTGTACCTAGTGTGGTTGCAGCCTAAAGCGGGATTCACAGAAGCTTTTTTGCGATGCGACACGCGATGCGACACGCGATGCGACGCGATCTGCGACGGACGCGTGCGATGCGAACTCGCGAAATACCATTCACAGAAGAAGTCAGTGATGCGACAACATTTTGCTGATTTGGCTACGTCACCATGATATTCGCGCGGTTTGATACAACTTGTACAAATTTATAGGCAACTCTTGAACCTTTGTACAACTTTGCTGTAGAAAAGGTCAAAATCGTACGCCAAATCGTTTGTCGCATCGCAAAAGTTGAGCCAAGCTCAACTTCTGCGATGGCCTGCGATGGCCCTGTTGCGGCAGTTGCGTGGGGTCCGCGATGGTTGCGATTTGGGGATTTCCCGGTTTCGCGGCTGTCGCATTGCGTGTCGCATCGCAAAAAAGCTTCTGTGAATCCCGCTTTACACGGATCCGACAATCCAAAAAATTGTTTTACAATTTTTGTCATGTGACGTGTGTTGTTGTGTGCCTGTTTTCAACCAGGGAGTCGTATTTTCAGGGAGTCGTATTCAGGGAGTCGTATTTTACGACTCCCTGTTTTCAACCATTATTTGAGTGTGATTGGTGCTTCCACGGCAACACTGGGCACATGACGAACTAACTTTGGCGGATCCTTTGCTCTCGTGTAGACGCTTGAAAACGATACAAACGGAGATCACTTCGGATCGGCTTTGATCGTGTAACGTACGAAAACGAAAGAAGAAATGCGGGACTGAAAACGGAAAACTGGCCGTGCGTTGTTGTCGTGTAAACGCAGCCTGAAGCGGGATTCACAGAAGCTTTTTTGCGATGCGACACGCGATGCGACGCGATCTGCGACGGACGCGTGCGATGCGAACTCGCGAAATACCATTCACAGAAGAAGTCAGTGATGCGACAACATCTTGCTGATTTGGCTACGTCACCATGATATTGGCGCGGTTTGATACAACTTGTACACATTTATAGGCAACTCTTGCACCTTTGTACAACTTTGCTGTAGAAAAGGTCAAAATCGTACGCCAAATCCCTTGTCGCATCGCATCGCATCGCAAAAGTTGAGCCAAGCTCAACTAACTTCTGCGATGGCCTGCGATGGCCCAGTTGCGTCAGTTGCGTAGGGTCCGCGATGGTTGCGATTTGGGGATTTCCCGGTTTCGCGGCTGTCGCATCGCGTGTCGCATCGCAAAAAAGCTTCTGTGAATCCCGCTTGAGGCTCATATGTCATGCGCATATGCGGTGGTAGATCTACGTGCCATAGCGCATATGTACGCACCCCGGACCCCCGTACCCCGCGAGGCCTGCACACGTGCAAAAAACAGTACGACTCCCACAGTGCGCGCGGCGCAGTTTGTGTCGATGCGGTGACCTTTTGCACTTTGTCCTCCCGAATTTTCCACTGAATTATATGAAGAGGACGCGCTGACCAATTGACTACCCCTCGGCCTCCAGTAGTACTGAGTCAGTGGTGGTGGAGAGGAAGGGCCGGGGGCAGTCAATTGGTCAGCGCGTCCTCTTCATATAATTGAATTCATGGACGAAAGAGTGCATGTGCATGCAGAAAGAAAGCGCAACTACAAATAATTGCAAGCGACTAATACCACAAAAAAGCGCCGTCTTTGCTTTGACGAACAACCCTGCGGACCTGTGGGGAAGAGGGCTGAGGGTGAGTTCCGCCAGTGAGATATCTTCCCATTTCCTATTTTTCCCGTTGAAGTTTCGAACATGTCGGCATCGGCACGCCGTGATCATGGCATGAACCAGGGAGTAGCATGCAGTCTACCACCGGTACTCCCTGGTTAGCACAATCTTGCTATCGTACACCGTACCATAATGCTATACAAGTCCCACGTGGTACATCATGTAGCACCAAGAGTACATAACTCTACAATAATATTATAGGTAGCACTACAGCTGTAGCTCGATTTCCAAAAAAAAGGTCTTTGGAGTAGAGAGGAAACGAAACCAAAAGTCACTTACTTCTCGGCCCGGTAGGAAGATTTCAGCCTGTGCTCAACGAAGG